CCTTTGAAGAGTTACTGTATAGGCTTTGTAACCGGTGAGAGAAGAATGCTGATTTTGTAGGAAGGATACAAAAAAAAAAGTAAAAGAATTCGTGATAAACTTTGTGAACAGCTGACTTCCTTTTTTGTAACAATTGAATTTGAATTTCACTTACGTTTGTGCGATATCGAAAAGGATCTGTTTTATGTATCTGTTCGTAGTTTGTTATTCTGTTTATTCCTGTTATTTGTATATTATTTATTGTGAGCACGAACCGAAGTTGAACATTATTCGGACTGCTTCAAATCTTTACATGAGATGATTAATCAAATGAATTTTTTTTAATCGATTGCTTCATTTACATAGTAATATCCGAATAAAATTCTGTTCAATACTGGTACGTTAAGCTTTGAATATCCTCATTTGTATTGTATATTTTTTTATATGGACTGTATATGTACTTTGTGTTGTATCTCTAATCATAAAATACTTACTGCATTAAACTCTGCTTCATCCATCAAATCCATCGATCATTTCTTTCATTTCTACAATCTTCATTTGCTGCAGCATTCTACTAACCTCCTTAGCTATCAGTAATTTAAAACGAATAAACCGAAACGCATTAATCACTCGACCATCCTTCCAACAATAATAAAAAGAATAATAACTGTACAAGATGCACACAACTCGATGTAATAAAGATACACGTGTATAAGCGAATTATTATATTTTTACTTGTGCGAGGAAGTAATTTGGAGATTGCTTATATGAGACGCATTTTTCTATTCATGCGAATGTTCCAATCGAAGTCCGTAACCGAAGCAACGCCACAATGTACCTCGGGAAGGATCAACCCCCACCTATGCGAGATCATTGTTTTTTCCCCCGGGGAAAGTTGACCAGGGAAAGCGTCCTCGCCTCGAGTACACTTCCCTCGGTGCAACCCCAACGTATGCAAGCCACTTGACGGTATTGGCGACGCTGCCCAAGGACACTGCGTCTGGACAGTGTCAGTCTTCTGTAACCCGGCCATCCCTGCTCTCGCTAGGACTCCGACGTGTTGACGTTGCAAACAAACGTCTTTCAATTCTGCAATCATCCCTCTCCCTTCTCACAGTCTTTTTTACAAAATTACTAAATTATTTCTGCTTGGTACCGATACACTTCATTATCGTTCCGATCGCTGGGAAAAGTATATTTAATGTTACAATGATATTTTAAAGATAGATCAATCTCTGAACATCATGTGCCCAGCAAAGGAAAATTTGTTTAATTTTCCCTGATAACTTAGATGAAATTTAGTATTCCGAGGAACACGTGTCGCATAATTTATATTATGATTCTCAGTACTTCAATTGTATTATAAAATTGATTATATTAATATCCAAGCTATATTTTAAAATTTTGTCATTTTTGTCAGTTTTAAAGCTATTTGAATGAAACTTTTAGAAAATACATTTCCTTGAATGCAGAATGTTCCAAGCCGGTGTCTACGAGAGGAACGTGAAGTCGTTTCACCTAATGCCTTAGTTCTTCCTTTTCCTTGTCTTCAAAGGGCGTTAAAAAGACGTTCACCGCGAAAGAGATGGAAATTGAAAAAAATATTTCAGTGGTGTTAGAGAGAAAAAGACAGAAAAGTATTTCAACGTAATCTTATATAATTATTTGTAGAATTAATGGTAAACGATTTGCACGTAGAATAGTCCAACTTTTTGTCAAATCTTGTATACGAAACTTGGCCAATTTATCTACCTATTGTGAAAGTTGTTGTACGGTTTCGCGTCCACGATTATAGTAATTACTAGAATCTGCTTTTGCGACCGCACTCGTTAGATTTTCTTCTAAACTCACACACCTTACGTAACTATTGCTAATTATTTTTAATTCGGAGAGATTTATAAAGTCCGATTCGTATTAATTGTTTTATGAGAATCGTACTTACTAATTGATTAAAATACATGAAATCAAAGAAGTATGAGAGTGCCAGTTTCCTATTACAATTTTTTGCTTCTCGAAGTAAGTAATTTAAATGGATTTCCTGGACTGATCTTAATTTCCCCTGGTAATACTTCTTGTTTCCTTTCTCGATTTATTGCAATATCTAATGGTGAGATATTAATTTGCGTAAAATATCTTGACGTTCCTCGTACAAAATGTTTTTCTATTGTATGTTTCAGGCTTGTATGAATTTACATCAGATAACCTAAACCAAAAAATACTAGTACAGTATTATTTCTATTTTACGTTGAAATACTTTTCCTATTTTAACAGATAATTGAAAGTATGCTTCCTCAATCTTAGTACAATCGTTTCATAATTCCATTTTCTTTTATTTGTTAAAAGAAATGTGAGTATAATTGTGCCATCTGCATTCGGAACGAGCAATTTTATCATTACTGACGAGAACATATTATTAAAAACGTGAACATATAAGCGCAGTGAGTGGAATATTTTTGTAGTCGTTCCCCGTCGGTGTTTTAATATTTTATTGTTAATGGCGAAACAAACATTTTGTGGTTCAGCCTTTGTCTTTGCCAAATTACACATATATTTCCCGCGTACGTATCTTTCGTCGCGTTCGTAAATTAGCTGTTCATTTTGTAAATGAGAAAAGTAGCTAACTACGCAATTAACCTACATTTCACCTCAAATTACCGAGTTTCTTCAGCAAATCCGTTCTCGTCTTCATAACTTTTTCATCCGTACACATGTATTAGTACACATTTTTCTATCTCTTCTATATATCTTTTTACATTATCATTTTCATTCGTTGTTAATTTTGTTCCCGAGTGGAATTTTTTCGTTGTTACAACAGTTAATTAATTAGTTCATAAGTTCCATTAGAATTTTA